GAGGGCCTCTCTGCGACGGTCGCTCCCCAAAGCGCATCCCGGCACATTGAGCGCGTCGGTGCAGCGGGAGGTGGGGAGGGAAGGGGGCTGCAGCTCTGCACCAGCCTGAGCCGTGACCTTTCCTGCGCATCGCTGGGGAGAGGTAGCGCTCCGGGAACTGTCCCACGACCGCAGCAGCTGAGAGAAATGTCACTGAGCATCTCAGGCGATGGCCAGACAGCCCTGATCACAGCGGGAAATGGTGTCTGTTAAAGCATTTTCTACAGAAGCAGGAGGCTCTATAGCAGCTCTCTGTCACAGTATGAGCTCTGGTATGAGCTGGGGGCCGTCACCTGCACAGGTGACTCTCTGGGACAGGGGAAGGAGCCTCTGTGGCTGCTTATGGTTCACGCTGGCACAGAACCAGCGCTCCGGAGCCTGGGGAGCTCCAGGCTCTGCGCCTGGACCCGGTGACTTTGTGCTTGGCCAACACCTTAGATGCACTGGGAATTTATCAGGAATCCAGAGATTAATTCGTTTTCTGGACTTCTGGGCTGGGATTTGGCTCTCTAGCAAAGAGCTCTAAGTGCTTGTGCCTATAGAGACGTGTCCACTGCCACTCAGTGGTGCCCAGCATCCTGGTTTTAACAAGAGCATTAGTAGGTTCAGCCCATTGCACAAGCCATGTCTTTGGTTTGCTGCAAGCTGACTAGTGCTGGTGGCCGAGGTCACTCCAGTCTTGGGCTGCAGAGGTCTGGGTGGCCTCAGGAAGGTTCTTCCAAACCTGATTGGTGTGACACTGTGACACCTCCAAGCCCATCACAAGCTCCAGCTTGTGGTTCCTGTGGGATGCTCGGGGAAAGGAGCTGGTCCCGGCACGAGACTCTGACCTGCCTGTGGCTTCTCGATATGCTCTAGTGGCCAGAGTCCTTGTTGTGCCATCCACGGAGGTGATAGAAGGTGACAATGTCTCCCTGACGTGCGACTTGCTTGGAGAGCCATCAGAGGACACCATCTACTCGTGGTTCAAGAACAGCAAGCAAGTCCAGGAGAGCTCAGACAACTTCCTTGCCCTGACCCATATCTCCAGCGAGGCCACAGGCTCCTACCACTGCAAAGCCCACAGTATCACAGATGCCAGCACCAGCATCTCCCCATCCATCGGTCTGCGTGTCTTCTGTAAGTGGGGTCACCTCGGGAAATTCTGGGTTTTGCCCAGGACTTGTCAAATTCTGTGATGAAACTTGGAGTGCTGGAAGCAGTATGACCTATGGGAACACATCTCCTCTACAGAGGAGCATCCTTGGTCTGGACTAAGACGCTCCTCAGCCAAACACATCCCACCTCAAACGTAACCTTCTGGTCAGAGATGACGTGGCCATCCTGTGTCTCATCACATATGATAGGAAATTGCAATGCTGTTTGTTTCAGTTCTGTTAAAATGAGCTGAATTTACCTTATTTTTTTCAGCATTCTCTATCTGGGATGGAGGGATAAACTGGGGAAGGTCTGGTTATGCCCTGCTCCAAGTGTAGGGTGCTGCCAACCTGGGACTGCAGTTGAGTGCTAGCAGCGATGTCAAGAACACCCTGGGTATCCAAAATCCCTGTGGGGACAGCAGTGTGACACAGAGCTGGAGAAGGGGAGCTGCAATGAGGACATTTGGGAGTGTGCGGCGCTCACACGTGCTCTCACTGGACAGATCCACCCCGGCAGCCTGTGCTGACCTCCTTCCTGGAGACATCCCGGGGGCAGCTGGGCATCCTGCAGTGCTCCGTGGACAGCAGCCCCCCGGCCGCGCTGGAGCTCTTCAAGGGGGACACGCTGGTGGCTTCCAGCACCCAGCCCCAGCCCGCGATGGCCTCGCGCCTCGCCGTGGCCTCTTCGCTAAACAGCCTGCGTGTGACCATCCGTGCCGTGGTGATGGAGGACGAAGGGGAGTACGTGTGCTGGGCCAGCAATGCCCACGGCAACGCAAGCACCGCAGGCAACTTCACGGCGGGCAGTGAGTGTGGGGCTGCACCTGCCCAGAGGGACAGGAATGGGAACGGGAGTGGGGATGGAGGCGGGTGGATGGACTGTGGAGGGCGCCAGCAATGTGGGGAGGTTGGCATGGGGACATGAGATGGAGGATGCTCACGGAGCATCATGGACCATCGTGGGGCATGGTGGACCATTGTGGGGCATGGTGGGGCATTGTGGGGCATGGGGGAGCATCAGGGACCACCATGGAGCACGGTGGAACGTTGTGGAGAATGGGGGAGCATCACAGAGCATCATGGAGCACCATGCTCATGGATGCTCTGGAGGAGAAGAGGGTAAGTAGTGTAGGCAGAGGGAAGAAGCAGAGATGTGTGTTATGGGGAGAACCGGAGGGCTCCCCAGGGATGATCATGTCAGAAAGGCATCACATGAGGCCGTCTCCTCATCACTTGCGTGGAGCACAAGAGCCCAAGCTGGGTCAGCTCTACCACCAACACGGCTGTTGCTCTCCATGCCTGGGTTTTGTTCTCTTCCTTCCTGCTCAGCTGCCAGGCTTTGGATATCCCCGTCCCCAGAGGTCCGCGAAGGCGACACCGTGAACATGACGTGCGCGGTGGCCCGTGGTGGCAGCAGCGGGCCGCTCACCTACGCCTGGTTCAAGGACAGCGCCTGGCTGAGCGATGGCGCTGACCCCCATCTCATCTTCCCCCGCGTGACCGCGGCCGACGCCGGCACCTACCACTGCACTATGCAGAGCCCTGAGGGTGCCCGGAGCTCGGCCCCTCGCGCCCTCGACGTCCTCTGTGAGTACCCGCGGGGGGACCCAGGGCAAATCCCAGCAGAGGGCAAATCCCAGCAAAGATCCCCATCTCACAGCCTCCCAGCGGCCTGTTCCGTGATGAGAGGAGGGAGGAGAAATGCTTGGCTTTCCAGAAACATTGCTTTTTTTCTTACTCCAATTTGGAAAATGAATAGCAGACGTCGTTTAAAAAAAGACGCGCACCAAAAAAAAAAAAAAAAGGCAGTTGCAAGTCAGGCCGGCAGAAAGTTTACCTTTTCAGTAGAAAGCAATGGCTTTAGCTTGCAAAGCTGGGGGGTCTTTGGGTCATGGAACATCTTTCCTGGAAAGCCCCACAGATTGACCTACACCTGAGCACTGCATTTATGTCCTTCCTCCGGCTTCTGCATGAGGAAGGGAAGATGGGTGCGGCTAAAAAGTGGATATATCTATAACAAAACTTTGGCATTACAGGGCTGAATTGCAGCACACATCTGCACACCTTCCCTGCCAGCCTTGCCATGGGGGTTTTTGTGCAAGAGGGGTTCTGTGCATCCTCATGCAAAGATGCTGTGGGGTTAAAAAAATGGTCTGGATCCAGCTTTTTCTCCCCGCTCTCTCCCGCGCAGACCCCCCGCGGAACGTGCGGCTGCGGGCGCTGGTGGAGGCGGATGCGGGCGACGCGGCCGTGCTCGCGTGCTCGGCCGAGGGCAGCCCCGCGGCGGAGCTGTTGCT